TGTGCACATTTTCTTCCCTCCTTTCACAGTTCCATTTTGAAAGTGCAGCACTATCAGTCTGTGAGATTTTCCTATTCCATCTGCCCTTAATCCCTTATTAATTCCACCCACACTAGATACCATAATGCCTGAATTCCAATCCAGGCTTCTCTACATTTTTATTTATTTTATTTTGGGTTTGCAGGCCCATGAGTTTCTGGAGTCGGGGGTTCTCAGTACTTTACCTCCTATATAGCAGCAGGTGTTCCGAGATTAGCAAGGCACCACTGCACTCAACATTTTATGTGGGTTCCTAGGATTGAACTCAAGTCATCACTCTTCAAGGCTAGTGCTTTTACCCACTGACCATATCCCTGACCTAGGTTTCTCTACATTTTAACTGAATATCTTCATAAAATTATTTAACTTCCCTGAAACACAAGAGTCCTTACTTCTAAGATGAGGGTTACTTATCTCTTGTATTATAAAATGCCAATAAACAAGTACAAAGAAATATATAGTTATATACATACATATACACATGCTACATGGACACAATATGTGTGTGTGTGTGTGTGTAAATATGTATATGCATATACATACATACATGCCCACGTACACAAACACACACATATACACATAAGTGTGTGTATATATATATATATATACACATACAATGTTCTAACGTGAACTGCAAGCAAATGATGAGTGCTGGTTATTATTAATTCATCTATTATAATCAATATTGCACTTAATTATATCATATGATATGAATGCTCTGGGTTTGAGTGTTACTCTTTGGCCTACATGGTAATATCAACTTTCTTTAAAAGAAGACTGTAAATTTTTTTTCTAATAAACTGCAAAGCACTTAATAAGAAGTAAGCACAGCTTTCTTAACCTAGTGAGATACGGACATGACTAGTGTCTTGAGACTGGAAGACTTTAGACTTAGGACACAGACCACAATGATTACAAAAGCTCCCAGCTCTGTTGCACACAATCTTTGTGGACTTCAACAATGTCTTTCCCTCTTGAGTCTCACTATCGTCTTCTGATGAGCAGGGAACATAATAATGCATACAACTCAAGGCTGTTTTAAGGGGGAAATGTTTGCGTATGCACACGGCCCTTTCAATGGTTTCTGGCAAACAGCAAATATTTAGTCATTAGCTAGCTTCTAGATGCAAAATAAGTGAAACTTGTTCTTAAAATAGCCAGATTCTAAGCAAAATCATTTGGCTTTTGGATCAAGGGGGAAAAAATTACTCTGAGACATTTTTATTTTACTTACTGTGCAATCAGAAAAACACAACTCTGCAATCTAAAATTCAGTACCTCTGTCAAAACCAGGAAAGTTAACTCCTTTACTTAGCATGAGGGGTTATTGCACTGTGCCATGTCAAATGCCTACATTAGTGTGTTTTAGATATCATCTTAATAGTTAAGTGCTTGATAATCTCCTTGGCCACAATATATCTCTCAAAGTTCCCATCTACATTTAATTAGTTGAGGTTTGAAATTTCTCTTAAATTATAATGAAGAAATCTTTGAAGTAAAGCCATGATTTGGGAACAACCAAAGAAAGAGTTTATCTTCCACAGTTTCCATGAGGAATGACAAGCAGAAACCCACATCACTACGGTCGATGCCCACCCATGTGCTCCAATACCTAGAACTGCTTCTATTGGAAAAAGGCCCTTTCCTGGCCCTAACTAGTCTGTAGCACTTCTGTAGTTGAACCTGATGCTTTCGAAACTTTGAACTGAGAGGCAGGCTGGTTTAAACACAGCCTTAAAGTTCAATTAACCCAGGCAAAAACTGAAACAATATTACAGTTCAGTACAAAGTCCTTTAAATGTAGAGTTATGATATAAACATACTTTTTTATGTGCATTACATCTCAGTGTTGTAGTACAAATATCTATTCACCATCTCTCTGAATTTAAGAGCCACATTTTTAGACCAACAACCAGATGTTTCAAAATAGCCTACTGTGAATGTTTCCTCTCTTGCATTTATAAATAGCGCCCTGACCTCTTTTCCAACTGAATTCAAGAGCTTCCTCTTGATGCTGTGATTCCTAAAGTCTCTTGTTCTTATGAAAACACAAGTACTCCAACTGTCTCTGAACTCATATGCCCCTCTGTTTACATTTATGCCTTCAGTAAATATTTAAGGAACACTGCTCTATCCAAGAGAATAGTGGGAAATATTTTCAGTTCAAGATAACAGTACTTCTTATCTTACTTTTCGAACAGTGTCAGGGGCTACAGAGTGAAGATACAATGTCTTCCCTCCAGTAGTTTAAAAAAAGATCAGGCTTAGACATGACAATATGCAAAGGAAATGACATGGGCACAAACAACTGGCCCTGGGACAAATTGCTCAGTACAAGTGAAAAAGGACTAGGGAGATGGAACAATGTTCTCTGGAGGAGATGCATGCAAAATAGCACTTACTCTGAGGCAATGGGAAAACTCAGAGTTTGTGACCTTGACTTTTACAGGGTTTGCAATATAACGCTTTATTTAAGTCACAGAGATCTGGCACCATGCTTTAAGATGAATGAGGGATTCTAAAAGCCTCCCATCAACTTGAGGAGTATACTTAAAGTATGCTTTCCAAATACTGCAATGAGAGTAAGTGCTATTGAATAAGGAAGGTTTCCAGGAGAAAGGCCACAGGTGGAGACAACAGTGGCCAGCACCTGAAAGCAGACCAAAGGCCATGAAGGAGGCACAGCGAGAGAAGATAAACATCAGGCCACAGCAAGAAGACAGAGTAGGTGCAATGGACCTAGAGTCCAACAAGTTGCGATGTCAGAAAGGCAGGTGGTGTTAGCCAAAGACCTGGAAAACTGAAGAGTCTGCACTTCTTGAGAATGCCGTGAAAAGCTCTGCACAGCCCTCTGACGATCTCCACCCCTGGAGTCCAAGTCATCTACCAACCAGGAAAAGACCAGTCTCCCTTGTTGGTGCACAGACCCAGTCTTACTCTCCTCCTATTGGGCTACACAGCATAGCCAGTGGAGGTTTTCTGTTTGTCTGCTTTTGTTTTTGTTTTACATTCTGTTTTTTGAGAACCTTCAGGAATGGTAAGCCATTTAAACAACCCATCCCAGATGAGTCCCTCTACATAAGTCTAAGTCAGAAAAGAATTCTCTCCACCTCTCACCAATGCTTTTCAACAAAATGCCTCCCTTCCCCATATCAGAATACCGTTGTTCTCATTTGAGCATGGGTAGAAAAGTCTGCTCTGCTGAGTCAAACCTTCAAGAAAATTTCTGTACAGACAGAACAATTAGAATACCACTGCTATTGCAATCAAGAAAAAAAAAAGGGGGGGAGCCAAATGACTTCACTACTATTACATATTTGATTTGGGTGACATTTTACCTACATTTATTTAGTGTGTGTGTGTGTGTGTGTGTGTGTGTGTGTGTGTGTGTGTGTGTGTGTGTGTGTACATGTGTGGGATGACACAGCCTTTGTATGGCAGTCAGGTGACAACTTGCTAGAGTCTGTTCTCTCCTTCCACCATAAGGCCCTGGGTCGTGGGGATCAAACTCAGGTCATTAGGCTTGGTGGAAAGCATCTTCGTTGGCTGAGCCGTCAAGCCAGGCCCTGACCAGTATATTTTGAAATCTAATATAATACACTCTAAGGTAGAAATGATTTAAGATGGCATCCCATACCCTCTACGTTTACAGTCACAGTGCTTGGTTAAAGCAAAGGCATATTTCCAGCAGCAATGAGAAGTAATCCACCTGATGAGTGTTTTACAAAGAATCCAAAACACTCCACTGTCTAGCACGTACAAAAGGAAAGGCCAATAAGTGAATCAATAAACAAATCTGAAGAGGTGGTGGGATATGGGAGAACAGGAGCTATTAAAGCATCTGCTGCCATTCATACTTCGAATTTCACATCACCTTCACCACTCTGAGTTAGTTGCAAGGAAGTGTGTTACAAAGTAACAAAACAAAAGGCAAAGTCTCCTTGGACCTCATGAAATCTGCAGCCCAGAATCCCCAGAAGCAGGTTTTCAAAACTGTAATTCATTATAACCTGAGTTCTACTTAACCATGGTAACTAAAAGCACTTTAATCTGAAAAGCATTCACTGAGTGCCCATGAGCCTCACAGCTGGGAACTTGAGATGTCAGGAAAACGAGAATTTGTTTTTAAGTGGACCATCAGTCTCTCCTTTCACAGACAACCCATAACACACATCTGACAGGCTTAGGGAGGAAGGAAAAAATACAAGACAGCAGATCCACATAAATCAGTTTTAACAAGCCATTTGACTTACCCTCTAGGTACATTTTATTTTTTAAAAAAATCTTTGGCTCTGACACATAAAGGCAATATTATAACACCTCCTTGGTGTGAAGACCCACCTTAAATGTGTGTTCCGTCTCTCCTTGGATGGGAGCCAGGGGATATTTCCATTTTAGGATGTAGCCTACTTGCACGACCCACTTTTTTTCTCTTTTCAACATTGTTAAATGGTGGAATACCAAGTGCCTTCGCCCTCCACATTTCTCTTGTAAGTGTATAAAAGTCATAAATAACACTCTTATAGAGATTCCTTTTCTTCAAAAAGTTACTGCACTCATAACCACTTGCAAACAGGCAATGCTCCCTACACTTCTGGTGCAGAGCGCTTAAGTGAGGAGAATCAATACTGGGCTCGTAAGTACAACGCTATTATTGGTAATAACAATGACATCCGATTAAATGTACTTTTAAAAATAGCTTATTTCAATACTTTAAAACAACTTATATGCCCCCTAAGCCTCCTATACTTCAAGGACAAACTTGGTATCGCTCTATCAACTTCCAAGAGCCTGAGACAGTTTTCCACACAGTGTAGCTCGTCACTTTCGTATTTTTCCTCTAATTATCAAAGGTTCACAAGACAACTCCACAAACCAAAGTAACTCCAGATCACCACAAAGAAATCCAAGACTGATTTAAAAAAAAAAAAAAAGACAGAATGAAGTAAAATAAAACTTACTTTAATTAATAGATGGACACCAAGTCTCCCATGAGAACTGCTTCCCACACCAAAGGAGAAAGAGCTGCCTGGTAAATGCACTCTGGAGAGGTCCCCGGGTACAGTGCTGGGTTCAGGCAGGTGGAGGCCGAATGATTGTAATTAAAGTTAATTAACAGGGCTGCCGTCTTAAGTGTGTAACCAGCAGGGTGCGGGGGAGCACGGAGCCCCAAGTCATTACCTCTACCAAGAAAATAACTCGGTGCCTGGAACTCGCCCAGGCTGCCTTTTGGTCGGGGGCGTGGGGCGCGGGGGGAAGGGACGAGGCCGAGTCTGGTAGACTGGATTGTCACCCGGGCGGGTCAAATCCCAGAAGCAAGTGCAGCCTTCAGATCACTTACCGGCTCTGGTTTCTCTTCCGACGCCCACTCGCGGGGGAGCGCGATCCAAGCGGTGCAATCCAGAAGAGCCCGAGCACTGTGCGAGCCCCGAAAGCGCGGCGCGGCTAGGCGTCCTCTCCACCCGCCACCCCCCCGGGGACTGTAACCGCGGCCGGCAGCCCACCCCGGGGACTCGCCTCGCGCGCGCGGCCGCCGAGCCCGGGCAGCGCAGCGCCGGCTTGTCCCCGTGGGGCGCTGTCACCGGCGGGCGGACCCCGCGCCGCACCTGGAGGCGGGAGCGCGGCTGGGCTCGGCGAGCGCGCAGCCCCGGAAACGGCGCCCGCCCGGGCCGCCCAGGTGCTCGGCGCCGCGCCCGGGTGCTTCCTCCCGGGCCCCGGGGGCGGGGATCCGCGGCCGGCGGGGGCGGCCCGAGCTCAGCGGCGGGGGTGGCAGGGCAGGCCGTCCCGGTTCCGCAGCATTGCTGCGCGGCTGAGTCAGCCTGCCACCGCTTGGCCGCGCCTGCCGCCCAGGCCACCTGGAGCGCCTTTGCCCAGTGGGGACCAGGGGAGGGCGCGTCTCGGGGTGTGGGGTCGGAGCTGCCACCCTCCGGTAGGGACCCTTGCTGGGCTCCTACTGCCCGGTGCCCGGGATTGGGCGCGCTGATCTAGGCTGGTGTCCGCCGAAGGGACAGAACCTTGCCACCGCCTCTGATTGCAGAAGCTTACCCCACGGAGAACTTTCCCTGTTGCCTCAGCATTTCCCAAACTTCATACTCATCTAAGACACCGGTTTTACCAGGTTCCCGGAATCAGCGTATTGGCCAACCCTTCAGTAGGATTCTCCCAGTCTCCGCTGTGGCCAGAGACTAAGATCCCCTTTTCAAGATGAATCTGAGGAGCAGTCTAAAGTCAGTGTCCAGAGGAACATCTCTACCTGGGCAAAGGTCTCAGACTGTGGGGTTGTTAGAACCTGGAAGAACTTCCTCTTCTCTGAGCCAGGTCCTTGCCTGATCTTGGTGATAAGATGAAAAGAGAGGATCCCAGAAACCTACCTGAGAGCAAGTAGGGTCATCCCTAATCTGCTTCGTTTTACTGTTTGAGGCTTGCTTTGTTTGCTTGTTTTTAATAGATTACCTACCTGAATTTCTCTCTCCCTTAAAACATGAAAGTCCTTATCTTTGCGCTCTATCTGTTGACGAAAGTGATGCAATTACAGTGAAGCACAGACCTTATTATGAAAATAAGATAATGGGTGAAGCGCTCGCAGCGTGGAGCCCAGGCCTCTGTGAATCCACATCACCAAGAGCTTTCAAACTACAGCCCCAGCCAAAAGCGCCCCCATCCTTGTGAGGGCGGTTCTGGTGGCAAAGGCAGGCCCCAGAACTTCGGTTTCTTTCCGCACTAAATGCTTCACGAAAGGCCCCATTTCCTAGGCAAATTTCCTTAACTTTGTCCAAAGCACGCAGAATTGTTTTTGTTTGCCTGTTTTTTCCTTTTGCTTTCCACCGTGTTTACAACAAATTTTCTGTGCGTGACCCTTTCCTGGATTCATCTTAGTCCTGTATTCTTGGTGTCTCTTTCTTTCTTTCTCAACAGTTCTTACATATTCCCCCCCTAATCTTCATTGGCCTTCTTAAATCCTTCCCTGAACAAGAGGTTATAAATATACAAGTGTTCTTACATCAGTTATGGTGTCTCAGGAGGTCAAGCTTAACTTGTCTTCAATTTACTTTTCGTGATTGTTTTAACAAAATTATTAGGGTCTGGGGCCTCCTTACAATATCTTAGTTCCTTGGTTCTGTTATTTGGGTACTTGGAGTTTTCTGACATTGTTCTGGTTGGTAATTTGAACAGAGAACACTGAAGATACAACGGTAAACAACTACCAAACAATCTCTAGGTGCTGCCCTCTCCCTGGGGAAGGATTTCAGTGCTGCAAGGCACACTTGTTTCCTAGCAGGAGTGGGAAGGAAAACTGTCCTCCACCACGGCCAGCATACCCTGCTTATAAATGCCAAGTCTGCCTGATGAACCCTCGTATATGAAGGGAAAGAAAAGATGGCTCCGGAAAGATGGTAAAAGCTACCTCTTATTAATTGCTTGTTAATCACCAGTCTCTAGCCAAACACCCAATACATATTTTATATGCCGCAATTCTGAGTTGAAATAATTCTTCCAGTTTTATAAAAGCAGGCTTAATTGAAGCTGATAGAGGCTAAGTAGTAAATAGCAGATAAATTGAGCACATCTAGGCTGTATTAGCACTACATCAATTATTTAAGTGAGGCATTAAGAGGACCAAGTAGACAAAGAAATTGACTTTCTATAAGAATTAAGATATGGAGATCTGTGGACTGCCAAGCTCTTGAAATATATGTATCTGTTCCCAGTATTTTCCATGGAGGCTGGAGTTATTCCAAGGTGACCTGCCCCTACCCCTACTTCCTAGGTTTTTGATAACAGAGCAAATGGAACTGCTTATCCTGTTCTTCTGCCTTTGTTGCCCCTGTCCTTTTTGACCCTTGATGCACTGGCTTGAAAGAGGTGATAATGGAGACCCCTCCTTCCTAGCTCTCTTCTCTCTCTTTCCTTTTTCTCTAACCTCACAGCAGCACTAGCATCCACCAACCACTTGCATGACCTCTGCTGCTCCAGGCACTTTACTTGACATGTAATGACATCAGCAATAAGAAATCTAAAGAAAATAGGAGGCGAGTAACTTACACAATCACATTAGACCGTAAGAGGGGACAGTTCCAAACTAGTCTTCTCCAGGAATTGTCTCTTGGGAGGGAGCTGAATGTACCATGTGGGCTGAGGCAGTTTGAGTACACTCTACTAACATTTGGGCCCTGGTTTCTCCACCAGTAATAAGAGTGACTGTTAGAACACAGTGTGATTGTACAGCTAAGGCACCTGGGAAATAGTAACTCCAGTGCAGCTAGTTCTGTTGTTTTTTGTTTTGTTTTGTTTTCTTTTTCTCCCAGGGTTCTCCAAGACCTAAGTTACAGTTTCATTTTCTTCTTAAGACATTTGCAAAAATCTCTGGTAGCCAGGATTGCTTACACAAGAAATTTAAAGTAATCTTTCATTTTGTATAAAATGTCCAATGTTATTTTGCCAGATAGAAAACTTAGAGTTCTAGATGCAGCAGGCAAATATTTCACAATATTTGTGAGTAAACAAAATAACATATTCATTTACCAGTACTATACTTTCCACTCAGATTTTATGAAGTAATATTATCAAACATGCAATTTAACATGAAAATTTACCTGGAGAATTGTATGTAAATCATCTTTTATTTGCCCCTCCTCCCTAACTCCACTCCCTGATGCTCTGCTATTATTACACAGTGGTACTAACTTTGGTTTTATGTTATACAATGAACCTATTTGTTCATTTTTATCTACTTGAAACTTTGTATCCTTTGAATAGCATCTCACCAACCCTTCTTCCTACCCACCAGCCTCTCCAGTAACCATTGTTCTACACTGTACTTCTGTGAATTCTCTTTCTCTCTCTCTCTCTCCCTCTCTCTTTCAGAAAAGGGTCTCTGCTGATTGAGTCAGTCTGTCTGTCTATCCCATTATTTTTTTCTTTTGACACAAGCTGAAGTCAACTGGGAAGAAGGAGCCTCGGTTGGAATAGTCTCCATCCGGTTGGCCTATGGCAGGCCTGTGGACCATTTTCTCTGTAGATTGATGTGGGAGGGCCCTGCCTTCTATAGGTGGTACCATCCCTGGGCACATGATGTTGGGTTATATAAGAAAGAAAATGGAACAGCCATAGCGGGCAAGCTACCAAGCAGTCCTCCTCCATGGTCTCTGCTTCAGTTCCTCAGTTCCTGCCATGGCTTCTCTCATTGATGGACTGTGATGGACTATGAAACCCTTTCTTCCCCAAGTTGTTTTTGGTCACAAGGTATTCTCAGACTCTGAATACACCATGTCATCCCTAGTTAATTTTTTTTTCTTTTTTTTAGATTTCATGTATAAGAAAGCTCATGCAGTATTGTTTTTCTGCATATAGATTATTTCACTCCCTATCCCCCAGCAGTTCAAGGTCACTCTGGAAAATACACTAAGGTGATGTTCTAATTTACTTTCTTCTGCTGTGATAAAGATGATGACTGAAGTTTCTGACACCTCCCATAATCATACTGCTAGCTGGGGTCCAACTATTCAACATGTGAGTCTGTGACAGAAACTTCAAATTCAAACCATAGCAAATTCTGTGTGCATACTAAGTCTGACGGGAGATGTTGTGGGCCATACTTGCCACCTTGGACCTTGGAAGTGATCAGGTTAATTAACTGAAGGAAACAAAGAGGTGCTGTGCTATTTATGTGGTTTTGTTTTTGTTTTGTTTTGTTTTGCTTAACATGATTTCTTTTTTTTCTTTTTTTCTTTTTCTTTTTTTTTTTTTTTTTTTCGAGACAGGGTTTCTCTGTGTAGCTTTGCGCCTTTCCTGGAACTCGCTTTGGAGACCAGGCTGGCCTCGAACTCACAGAGATCCGCCTGCCTCTGCCTCCCGAGTGCTGGGATTAAAGGCATGTGCCACCACCGCCCGGCCGTTTTAACATGATTTCTTTATTGAATCTTTGGGAATTTCACATTATGCACTCCAGTTCTGCTCACCTCCCAGTTCCTCCATATCCTCTGCTCCCCACTGCAATGGCCTTCCAAAAGAAATTTTTTTAAAAATCAAAATGAAACAAAACAAGCAAACAAACAAACACAAAGAGAAAAACAACAACAAAAAGAACCTCAGCTCCTCCATCTTTCTAGCCTCTCTAACACTCCTTCATCCATCCTGGTGGTATTAGAAGCCACAACGTGTCACTCAGTATACCCTTTTGTCCAATCAGCTTTACTTGCAAATAATCATTGCAGTGAGTCACTGGTCTGGTTCAAAGCTTCTGGTTTCTGGTACACCATCATCACTGGATCTTCACTGA